CTTAAATATAGTTCCAATGATCAAAACCTTAACAAGAACTCAGATAATTTATCTATATTGCTTTTATCTACACACACATCCATATATATGTGTATATACATACATATGCTTCCTATACCTTCATTCCTTTCCAGTTCTGTTCCTTTATGTTTGCTTCCACTCATGTCAAATGGTAGTCAAATACACACCTCCAAGAAGGTAAAGTAATTTGACTGTTTATGTTTCAGTTGGTAAGATACAGCTATTAAAAAAATTAGGTGACAAGTGAACTGAAGATACTTAAGTACTCTCATGCTTTCAAGGCTACACGTGACATTTGCAGACAGCTTTCATTTCTGTTTCAGTTTGTTGGAGGAAAGCACCTCTCACTGCAGGTGTTAAGATTTTCAATCATTATTATAAAGTTATTATTTTAGTATCTATTTTTGAGTCCAGTCATGCCAAGTGGTACTTATCTTTTGTAATGCAAGTGAGCTGATCTGAAGAAACTGAAAACAGATTCCCTTTTAAATTCCATGAAAAAAGTAGGAACGGGTCTATATCTATCTCAGGTTATCATATTAACATTTCATTTATGGAATCAAAATCTTCCAGGGTGCATTCAAAATCCACATGATGTCTTGAGTGCTAAAGTTTTCAAAAGGATCTGTACATTAGCAAATAAATAGGCAATGTAAGAATACAAGTTTGGCCACAGATGTAGCAGCTACTAATACATAAAGACTGAAGCTACTTCATGTAATTGTAAGAAGATAAATCGATTTGGCTTTAAGGGACTTTCAGATAACAGTAGTTTGCTCCTCACTGTATCAAAAGATGAAAAAAACAATGAGATGGAGAGCATTCTCTGATGTAGCTGCAACCCTTTAAAACAGAAAAAATTAAGCTGAGAGGTATGAGGGACAAGATGACAATTTTCTGAAATAACTAGAACCTAACAGAATTCAAATTATGTAGTGTTTGCTGCAAATAAATATTATTAAGTATTCGCAGTACAGTAACTATTGTAGGCTTCTACACACCAAAGCAAAGAAATTCAACTTCACAATAATCACCCCAAACATTCTCACCAGCCTTTCCCATAAAAAGGCTTCACTTACTGTCAATATTACAGCACTGAGTGTCCGAACCCCAGCTGCTGGAGTAGTTCTAACCGTATAGCAGACAACAAGGTACAACTAGTAAGTTTTTGGTATAGCAGACAACACATTAAAATTTGTAAAAGATGTAATGAGTTGAGCAGAGGAGGAGTATCCTCCCTACCTACCATGAAGTATACAGTTCACATATCCCTGGGATCAGAGCAAAAATGCCAGGGCAACATCAAAGGCAACCCAAAAAAAAAGTGGTGGGTATCTGCTGTTGTCAGAAGTACAGTGAGGGTAGATCAGGAGGCTGATTAGCAAGTAGCACAAGTAGCAGCAACACAGACTAATGTGCTTACAGAAAAACCATGCTGAAATCAGACTGTGCTGACAAGTAGTGAAATGTCTTTGTTTTGTTATCCACCACTTTCATTGCTCTGAGAAAGTACTGGTTGATTACCAATAAACAATAGTCAAAATATAAAGGAAGTTTTGTTTCTCATTTCCATTACACCCTCTCTCCTCCCAAAGAGATAACCATATGGTAGCATAAAAGCATCAAATACCATTTTTACTATCCCCGGGATTTATCACAAGTGTTCAGCTGCACAGAAAGCAGTTTAGCCAATCTGTTCTTTCTGTAATTTACATTGCTATATGGAGAAACCTTTAAGGAAATTTAAAGCTAATGCACCTCTCATATTTCTATTCCTGAAATGCATCATTGTATCCATTTTTCCTTCTGTTTTTCACTGTGTCATTTTCCCCTCTATTGCAGGTTATCTTCACCATATTCACCCACATTCTTTCCAAACTCCTATTGATTTGTCTTCATTGTTACTCATCCACAAACTTTCTTTTTCTTCAATCCCTGTGCTCCACTTCTTACATTCTTCCTTCCACATAAAAATTTTTATAAAAATCAGACCTAAAATCTGCAGTCTCAGCTGGATCAACAATATCATGCAGTTCTTCCAAGATCAAATAAATCAAACGTTCTATGAGCTGTTTTTTCTCACTTTAACTCACTTCTCCTTGTTATTCATTCCATGCATTAAGTTTTGTCCAGCACTCTGCTCTTCAAAGGCAACTAAAACATCTTCAGGTTGGCCACTAACCAGATATGTGACATCAATGTTCATTAAATGTTTTGAACCACCACAAAATTTGCTGAACTGGCTTAAGCAGTTCACAGGCTTCTGTGGGTGACAGCAAAGCTTTCTCCTATAAAGAGTTGCACTGTATCCGTACAGCCAGAGAACATCTTCATCCACATATTAGTTTGCAACTGTCCCAACATCTGGTGGTCCTGGTAAACACACACATATGTCATTATTCTTCGTGGGAGTGCACCAATTTTGGTTAGTTTCTTGTTCTTCCAGTCTCTCACTGTAACTTTTCTCCTCTGCTACGACCAAACTGCAGGCACTTGTTCATCACGCTCCTTCCAATGGTACAAGCTTGCTGTGGCCCCAGTTCTCACTTTACGTGTACGCTCAGAGGAACAAGAGGCTGCTAAAAGAATTGCCATCTTTTCACACTCCCGGGTAAGCAGCCTAGCACTGGTGAGGGTGCTTCAGGAAGTGCCCCTGCCTCAACTGTGAGCCAGAATTATGCACCTAGATTTTTCCTAGTTTTGCCAACCACGTACGTAGAAAAGCATTAAGTTTCCAAGCACTCTGTAAGAATTCCAATTGGGATCGGAAGCAGGATCCCTCTGCCTTAAATCTTTGTCGCTTATTCAATACTAATAGTCTTCAAAAAGAATCTGTTCTATACATACAATGCTGACCATAGACAAGGCAGGGAACAGATAAGCATGAGCTAATCAAGAACTAAATTTCATCTCATTCCTGATTCCCCATCTGCCATAAAGCTGCACTTTGAAATCTCAGAGGCAAGCGATGATGCAGTTGGGAGGAGGTGAACAGAGCCACAGAAACAGCGAGGTGTAACATTTTACAGTATCTAGTAGCACAAGATGAAATTGCTGTTAAATAACAGACAGCCTCTGCCAGGAAAAAAGCCACAGAATGCCTCCTGCATGGAAAATTGAAAGAGATGGTGTAAAAACAAACTTGAAACACCCAGAAGAATCACAGCATTGAAAGCTAGTCCTGTACCCAGACTAGCCAAGGAATTTTAGCAAAATCCCAACTTTTTCCTCTCAGTGAGAGAGATCTCAGCTGACATCCACAGTCTCAAAAATCACCCATGAAGACTGGCATGAATATGTTGAACAAGATCCCTGGAAAATTATTCCGTTGTAAAACCCTGGAGTCACCTCTCGCACATCATGTATCAAAACGCTCCCTTAAGCCTTCCAGTACGAGCTGCCATCTTTTGCATCACAAGTGAGAAGAAAACAGTTTCTCAAAGCGTGCAGCCTGACCAGCCTTGCAGCCGACAAGCTCGTAGAGCTACAAAGGAAGGGAACTCATTTTTCTTCATCAGTGAACATCCTCAGCCATAGGGTAGACTACAAAGCGTTAAATCTATTAACAGATCTACCCAGAAGGCAAGTAGACAGGAAAGAAATGCAGTGTATCCAAAACTGCTATATCAAAACCACTGTCCAACCATTTAATCCATCAAATAATTACCTTATAAATATGTCCATCTGTTTCAAAATTGAATGAAACACATTTAAATAAATGTTAAAGTGTGAGAAGAGAAGCTTTATTTACCCACTTCCCCTGAAAAGAAATGACCCCCTTCACCAAAACCCAACTAAAATTGTTACTGTAATCTGTCAACCATTCCTTGTTCTTCAAAAACAAAGCTGCTGTACATAAATGGCATGGCTTATCAACTATGTAGCAGCACAATATATTTTAGTAGCTTGCAGGTTTTCTCATACATTCAAATTTTCCACTTCACAGCATTAAATTTAATTACGTAACAATGAACTCCTGCCCTTATGTAACTTGTTGGCCTGAAGTTGCTGCAGCTATCTGCTGGGTATAATGAAATTTTACAAATGCTTTTTAAAATACAGAATGGGTCATATAACAGCATTAGACCTTAGAAAATAAAAGGTCTTGAATTCTGCCACATCAGTATAAAAAAGGAAAAAAGATGGAGAACCTTCGAGGAAAGCTGTGCTCACTGACAGAGCACAAACTACTGGGAACTGCTACCTCATGTATTGTTCAGACAAACAATTCTGCACCGTTTTCATTATTTTTCAAGTTTTACAACTACAGTATCTTAAACAAGAACAAACACTGTTTTCCTGAAGCCCCTACAGTTGTTTCAGACTGAATCTGCTTTTTTTTTTTTTAAACTCTGCATGGAATACAGAAGAAAATGTAAAAGAGCCTCTTTGGTTTTCAACATTACTTAAAAGGAAAAGTAAGCCCAACAAGCTTTTACTCTCATTGACTGACTTTTCATAGTATTAGAAATACTGAAAGACAGAAATGAACACCTTACATTTCAGTCACATTAACATATGTATATCCATTAGTGGAAAATCAAAAGCTTACAGGAATCAGAATGTAACAAGTGACTTTGTCTTTCAGATCCCGTCAAAAAAATCCTATAACTCAGATTACCATGTCATAGCAGAGACCAGAAGAGCAAAGCCTGTAATCGATACAGTAAAGTTTCCAGCAATACAAATAAACCATTAACTTGAAACAATGCTGACCTCTAATCACTTAGCAGTTGTACCTCAAAGAGGCTTGATTTGACTTTGTGCTGCCATTCAACTGAAAAAAAAAAGTATGGTGCTTTTAAGCTGTGAATCTTAAGAATTACTTGCATACTTACTGCTTAATTTAATAAAATTAGTCAAAATGGCTGATCTCCGAGTACGGAAAAAATCCTGAAATATTCTCAATAAACAAAAATTTTCTCTACAATATTAAGGGCATTTATGCAGACAAATAATATTGTCATCCTGATGCTTACCCAATCATTGCGTTTTCTTTAATCTGAACCTCAGTGCCATTTACCATCGGCTCTTGATTTCTGTTTTCCTTCTCTGAAGCATCACTTGAGAGGCCCAGTAAAGCTCGTACTCGCTTTGACTTCACATCCAATATCGTGTCGGTGTAGCCCACTTCTTGTAGGTATCTGTAGGAATAGAACTCATACTAATCTTACATGCACACTTCACTTACTCAAAACAGTAAATGAAAACTTCTCCCTAAACTCATCTTCAACCCCTTAGCTTAGCAAAGTATGGTACTATGCTAATGAAACATGCTTATAAATCATCCTGTACCAGCTGCAGAGGGATCGCCTCTTGCAGTACCAGCCTCTACAGTCACTGAGAAGAAAAAAAAAAATAATCAAAGAGCCTAGCAGTCAGAGGTTTTACAATACGTTATTCATTCTTTTACTAAAATGGATGGAAAAGCACTTTCAATTAAAATACTTACAACTGGCTTATAAAAATCACCACAGTTGCATGTACAACATGGCCATTTTCTTATTCAAGACATGGAAACTACACATGAAGCCTTACAAGAAGTATCAGATACGTGCCTCATGTAAGCATTATTAGAAGCCTAGAAAATAGTGGAAATAAAAACAAATTCTGTAGTTGTGGCTACTAGCAAGAGCTGTTATTTATAACGCACTCGATTTGGTAAAATCTTTGTCTTTCCTTTTCCTTATTCTGCAATGGATCTGCAAAATATTAATTTGTCTTGCACATAAGACAAATATAAGGGCCACATATAAGGGCTAGGCAGCAAGAACCCTGGCCTAGCTTGTATGAAAACCTCAAGGTCTAAAGTTGGCTTTTTCTTCACTATGCCATATTGCCTTTGGGGAAACATGGGGGGAAATAATGATATTTAAAAAAAAAATAAAAAAAAATTGGTCTCTCTTTCTTCTAGAGTATGGAGTTAATAGCAGTTATCTTCTCAGGAACATTGGACTGATTAAATAGCCAATATTCTAGAGGACTCCAAAGAAGAGAAACGCTATTTTACAATAACAGCTGTTACAAATCAAGGACATGCACTTTTCCTGCAGGAACATTCTCCTCGAATTATTTAACAATATCCTCTACATAACCATATCAAGGGAGAAATACTGATTGTTTGCTATACAAAAATCAAACAAGACACCTACGCAAAACAGAGTCCATCAGTAAAATGTACTCTGTATTCAGCACTGTGTCACTTATTTATGAATTGTGCTGAGAAGGAATGACTTGTCTTCAAAATCACTGATCCAAGTTATGACCATTTTATTGACATTTATTCAACATGCATGCAAAGATTTGAGCTCTTGCAAAAGAAAAGCATGTTCTCACTACCCAACAGACAAATTTAACTTTTGTGTAATTCCTTGGGAAAAGGTCCTTTAATATAAGCTCCAGACTTACTATCTCCCTCCCCTCTCATTTAATCCTCTGTAACACACACACACACAAAAAATTAGAAAGACAGTCTTGCTAGCTGACTAGAAGACCTTAGAATCTATCAGCATAGGGGATGAGGCAAATGCATGAATAAACAGAGACACTCTGATGAGAGGTCTTTAAGAGACCTCTTCACTTTAAACCAAGGATTGTAACCAAGGCAAAAAAACCACACAAAGATGTGACCAAATAGCTTGGAAATTAACTAACTCATCATGACCACAATTTAAAAGCTAATTTAGATTAACACAGACATTTGCTTCATTGAAATGAACTACGAATTAGAAAATTTCTAGTCTAACCTTCTGGATATTACTCTTTTCTGCACCTCAAGCAGGCCAAAATAAAAGTTATCCCTCTCCAACATCAGTTATTTTTATAGCTCTTAATAGAATTACTTGTGTGTGTTTTTTAATTGCAATAAGAATTGTAAAGTGTCATGACCCACTGTTTTCCCAAGCAGATTGTTTTAATATTCTCAGTGAAAGAAAAGCAAAGGAGACTCGGCATTTGTGATTCACAGGGCTTCTCATCTGAAATATTAAAATTTTTCAAAACCTAGGAAAGGTACGGCAGAAGCTGAATGAACTTCATTCCACACACTAACTCTTCTTGAAAGAAAATATTACAGAAAAAAAAAATCAAATACCACCATCACCACATTTCATTGCCAGATTCTTTCCCTTGCATTCATTATTCAAGTCCTTTTTTCAGCACTTACTGTCTCAGAAGCTGTCGTCCTTGTTTCCATATTAGCTGACTGTTCTGTTGTGGCTGAATCTCTGTCTCATTCCCTTCATCTGGAAAAGATTATTTTATTATAAACATTTTTTCCTTTGTCTGAAAATGATCAGGAATGGTTTAATAACAAAATAAAAGATTCAAAGTGCCAATAATAAATCAAGAGCGAGAAAAATGCAGATAGCATGTAATGGTAGTACTACATACACATAAAGATTGTCAGGTACATCCTACTGTATGAGAGCAACTTCCACCAGTCATCAGTGCCTTCCTTTCTGTCTCACATCCAAAAGCCACATCTTACTCCTATTTCTTTAAGGGAACATAATCACATAGACAATCCAGAGTTCCATTTTTGCATTAACCTTCCAATGTTACTGTTACTTGTAATTTAAGTTTGAATACCAACATCTTTAACTGCTAACAATATCAAATGCAACTGTAGCATGATATCTATTTACAACTTACTGTCTAACCAATTTCCTTAATATTTGACCAATCAACATAAACCCAACAGATCTATTTGCATCAACTTTAAAGACATCCCTTTTTGTATTTGTTTTGTGGGAGGAAAAAAAAATACAACAGGGATTGTTTATTTTTTAGCCTCAAAAGCTGTTGAAAAATTTTCACCACGTTTTCCACAACCATAAGTTTGTATCCAAACAGTACCACTCCAGGAAAATAAACAAAAAAATTATGTGGCTGTTCTGGTGAGCATCCTATCTGAATGCTGGTCATCAACAGCTACACATTTATTCCATATATAGCTTCATACTACATGATGGAGGGATTTGGTTTTCCCCTCCTCCAGGAAACACATAAGCATATGCTTCTCAAGATAAAAGATCTTGGGTTAGTATCTATGAATGCCTCTACAGAAGTTGAAACCCTTGTGGTCCAAACATTAAACCATGAACAATCTTTTTGTGTAAACAAAATTAAGAACCAGAAAAACCTGTGGTATAATCCTATGAGTAACTTGATATGTAATGTGGGAAAGCTGTTGTCCTTACCGGAAGTCATTTAACTTTAAACAACTGAATTAACACCACACTCACAAAAGCCACCACAAACACACACAAAACCACCACCCACCTAAAGAAGCTATCAAAGGCTAATCAGAATTCACATGCAAGGAGAACCACTTGAATTTTATTCATCTCAAATTCACAAATCCACTTAATAGCAACCATAGGAAATAATCAATTGCACGATGACTTTCTGATGACAACTGAACACAGCTGGACCCCATGCACAATTACCAAAGCTCAATCTATAAGAATTAAAACGTGACTGAGGTAAACCTGCCTAAAAATTCCTTTTGAAAGCAAAAAACCTTCTTCTGAAGGCGCTATTAAGTATATCTACAAAGTATATCTCTTTTGCTTAGTCTCCTCAAAACTGATGACAGCTAGCAATAACAGCTGCGTACAGATGAGAATGAGGAGACTTGCATTATGAGCAAATAACAGCAGAAGATATCACAAGCAGTAAACAAACAAACAAAAGGCTTCCCTTTATCAGGAGATTGAATGCTTTCTTCAAAATTATATTACTGACTCCCCAAGAGATCATAAAGTAAACAAACAACAAGGACCCATTTGGAAGAACTACTACAAACACTTCCACTTTTTTTTGTGACTGGGTAGGAAAAACAGGGGCCGGGGAGCAAGGAAAGGCACAGGCATACAACTCTAAAGAAGAATAACCACAAAGTTTCTATTTTAAGTGTTTATCTTCCATCAGTCCAGATTTGTTATAGAACAAAAGTGAACATTTCTGACAGCTACATGTATAGAATGAAGTGGAATAAATCAGGATAATGGAATTTTAACAAAGGTACTTCCACTAATGTTCACTTTGCGGAAGTAATGCACAGGCTATGGCTCTGCTGGGCAAGCCAGGCCTTGCACTATATTCCTCAGGTGGAAATGGGAGCAACGTGCTATAGCTGCATCCTGAAAAATTATAAAAACCAAGTATGTCTAGGATCTCAATATGATCAGGATAAAGTTTTCTAGATACACATTGGGATACATACCCTGTTCCACTTGGTAATACCAAATTAAACTATTCCTTCCGTTAAGGAAATAACCTTGATAATAATGTGAAACAAAATTTCTCAAAAACTCATTGTATCTTGGACAAGAAAAGCCTGGTGCAAAGTTTCATCAGTTGGTGTGGGGCTAGATGTTTTGATTTTTTGTGGTTTTTTAATGACCTTCTGAATCCAAAGAGGTGAGAATTAACCATGAAAGTAAACTTGTCCATCCCTTCCACAAATCAAGTGACAGAGCTGAGGTCTGCAGACTTTCTATATTCTTCCTTTATGTACAGGTGGTTCTAGCTTTGTTGCTGTAGTAGGAGCATCAGGGGATTAAGATACAAAAATCATCACCTATTACTTCTTTCAAGGGCTTGACCTATAACCAGATCCCTGTAACACCACCTTTTTGATCCCCCAAGGAAAGCATGGGGAGATAGAGAGAGGAATGAAAAAAAGTAATTTGAATTCTTAATTCCTCAAGTTCAGTGCTTATAACTATTTGACTGAAGTAGGAGATGCAACATCTAGAAAAACAAATCAACTTTCCAGAGACCAAGGTGAAAAACTGTCCTCTCATACCATAGCACTGAAGTTAGTTGAATGCATTACCAATGATCATTGGAACTTCGTAAATAAAATCCCCATTCTCAAACTCTCATTTATGTCTAATATGCATCGTCATTATTTTTCTCCTGGAATACCATTGAGGTAATTGAACAAAAAGTTACATACTATACATTTCATGTCCTTTGCCATTAACTTTTTATTCAGAAGAATTATTCAAATGTAAAATGATTCTATAGCTATAAATCTAGTATCTCCCTGTTTCAAAACATCTATACACATTACTAAGAAAAAAATTATTGTCTCCAGGAGCAGTTTGATGGTTTGGGTTTTTTTAAATCTAAACTAATTTAATTTATTAATAGACTCTTTCAGAGCATTAGCATGTATTTTTAATTTTATAAGAGCAAAATACAGTCTTTACTAATCATCTCTATTCCCACTGCTTCCATTAAGTGGCTTATTTTATCAACACCGTCATGTCAGCGTTTGCACAAACCACAGTGAAGCTTTTATGCCAGTAATGAACTCATTCTTAATAAATTCTTACCAGAATCATAGTTTGGTGGCTTCATATCTCCCTGATTCAATTCTGTGCCATATTTTAATTTGTGATATTTAGCCCTGAAAGAGAAAGGAGAAAAAAAAAAAGAAACTATTAGCACATTTAAAGGGTATCCCTAAACACATGAATGCCACCTGTCTTCCCTTGAAAAACCACCCCTTTCTTCTAGGCTAGAAACAAAACAAATAATTTCAGCAAGAATTCAGATAGGTAATTTTGCTTAATTATTTTTCCCAAGCTTGACATGTAATTGCAAAGTGAATACTGATGAAACACAGGGATCAGTATACTGCAGATTTTACAAAATGTTTTTGCTACAGAAAAGGTTCCTTCGCTGTGGACACAGTCTCCGCTTCCCCCCCAACCCCTCTTTTTTTTTTTTTAAGCAATCACTATGCAACATTTTTACTATCTATGTCAATTCAGTGCCATCTACTTTTTATGTCATATTTTAACCTCCATTAAGCAAACCTAATTTTTATTCTTCATAATGCTGTCCTTACCAACAGCAGCAGGTCTTCAGTTAGAATTATTCTAAACAAGATTTAACACTTATAGGAGCCCATCTACCCCAGTTTCTTTTAAAACTTGTAGATTTGCCACTTGACCAAGATCATAAATGGAGAATTCTCTTCTGAAAATATTATCCTACAGAAGGCCTATTGTAATAAATCCCACAAAGCATGCCATATGATAACAAGAATAGCCAGAAGAAAAAGGGAAATGCTTTATAATTTGGAAAGCTTCATCCTACAGAGTCAGTGTTTATACTCTTAAACACACACAATAATGCCACAGTAGTACACCATTACAAATGCACATGGAAGTTTTTAAAGATTCATTTGAGTAGTCTTTTAAGACAGTAACAGTGAAACTGAGGCAAAGAAAGTTCTAGCCAGTTTTGCTATCTGTTCCTCCCTTCTTTCAGCACTCACTGTAACTTTTGTCTCTATGATTGTTTTCTGCTGAACATGAAAATTTAGACAAGTCAAAAAAAGACAGGATTCCCTACAAAGCTTTGTAGGCATCCATAACCAGACAGAAAAGTGGCAGTAATACCAGCTCCTCCCCTGAATGAAAGGCAGGGAACAATTTGGGCAATGCTGGGCATGTAGCCTGCCAGTAGAGGGGTGACCAACTAGCACACATACATGCAGCTCCAATGCAAGTGTACAGAGCTAAGTGTAAGGCAGCAAGATACAGGCTACAATAGATAAAAATAATAAAAAAAAAAAATCTCACATACACCAACATGAAAACTGGCTTCATTAGCTCCACTACTCACAAGGAAACTCCTCCACTTAAAGTTTGTTTTTAAAAAACTTAATGGGTGTGACACTTCATCATTGTATGAGGCAAGTCTCACTAAGCTTGAATGACTGTATCAAGAATGACTGTTTTCAAGTTACACCTCTTGATAGCTTCTCAGACATCTTCACTATATTACTTCTTACTTATGTTACTTATACTATATTACTTACATTACTGTTTTCTTTTGCCTTTTCCTATTTCATCAAGAAAACTCATTAATTCTAACAAAATGGTGCTGAGGGAGGCAACCCTTGGTAGCTCTTATGCTTCAGTATCGCCAGTACTAGTTTCCTACTAATCCAGCTCCATTTTAACTACAACAAGCATTTAATTCTGGATGAGACAGGTAACTGCAGAGTGAAGAAATGCCTCTTAGGTGTAGCAACAAAGAGAGATGAAGGAACTCACTTCTTCCTCAAGAGCTAGAGCACTAAGCTCTAACTCAGCTGAGCAGCAGCCAGCAAGGAAAGGAGAAAGGATACACTTGAAACATATTAACAGCAATAAGTGAAGGACAAACATTATGGCCAGTACAGAAAAGGATAACCAAGAATAGAACAAAATTAAATCTAAATGCTCAATCAAAATATTTATCTTTCCTTTTCCAATTATCTGTTTCCTCCATCTCACTAGCAGAGAGATGTTACCCTGGTAAAACAACTGCCCTTCATTCCTGTTAAATACTGATGCTAAGCGTACTTTTCCTCTACCATCACTAATAAAAAGTAATGACTAATTAAGAACTAAGAAATCCTCTGCTCCGTCACTAACCTACCTCACCAACTTTAAACATACACTTTGTCAAAACTTCAAGTTTTTATGCAGTCAGCAATTCAAGCGACCCTAACGTTTAACCCATTCTGATTTGACTTATCAAAAGTGAGCAAATATTAATATTTCAATCTGGATTACTGACCTATACTGTGGTCTACTCAATTCCTGAAAATAATTTCAGAGAATAGTTAGTTTTATGGCATGAGGCATTTACTTTTAGCTCATAGATCTTAATAAAGCTCCATTATACTCTGCATTCACTGATTTTCTTATCAAAGTTTTGTTAACAATTTTCACCCTGAGAACTAAAGGAAAGTGTTAGCTAGGTTAACTGAAAGGATCATTCCTTATACCTTTGTTGTTCCTCAGATCTCTCATCTGGTCTCCAAAATCCATTTTTCAAAAATTCAGATAGCCTGCATTTTTTTAAAATCTATCTCAGTATATCTATTCCAGTGTGTTAAATCTGTATATGCTCATTTTTAAAATTTCTTTCCCTCTTAAATCAACAGTAATAATCTTCTTTCTTTTTATTGACATTTTCCTCCCTCATTAAAAGCATTACAAAACCAGTTCAGCAAAGTGAGATTATTCAGTCTGCACACATTCTAAACTATTAGTAGCACAGTTTCTTAACTGGTTCCTCCTCATAATGCAGTAGTTTTTAAAGCCTTTGTTATTCTTCTTTACTTCAAGAGGATAATCAGGATTACATGGTTTTGTACACCACTGGCCCTTAAATTTACTTTAAGGCCAAGATGGATTAAGATTTCATCTTTCAGAAGATTTAACTTTGTATATGACAGAGACCAGTAGAAATAACAGACACAGCAGAAGAACCATGTCAAAGGCAGGCAATTGAAGACCTGATAATCCTAAAAAGAAATCCTTTGGTTTTTTAATATTGCTGAGAAAGTTAAAAACAAAAAGCCATAGACCTTTGGCTGCACAAAATGACAAAAAAAACCAAAACAACAAAGCCAAACTCAAATCTGAATTAATTAGAAGCAATTAGTGTAAATTCAGGTGTCTGAGCAAGATATCAGTCAGATGCAAAAGAGAAACATGAATAACACATCAGAGTACTTGACCTGGTTAACTCACCTTCAGCTATGGTCAGCTTCTAAAGTTCAGAATATTTAAAAAAAAATAAATAACCTATATAGATAGCTAACAGTCCACCAGGGAAATATTTTCTAAATTTCTTCAGGCAGCAAGTATGAGATTTATTATTAGAAACTTTCTTATGATACAGCTGAAAATGTCATAAGTCTTTAATAGACAAACAATCTCCTTTCTAAAGTGTAGTAAGGAAAGGGCTGAACACAAGGATTCAGATCCCAAGACTAGAAGGGAGTCTTGACTGGTCAGTTGCACATACTGCAATCAAAGGCTATGAAACTTCTCACAAAAGAAGCTTTAATACTTTTCTATACAAATTCTGAATATAGCTTATTCCATCAGCATGCTCATATTTAATGTATTTCTCCAACAGAATATCTCCTGCCCACCTATCATGCTTAACTTCTCTGTTTTTTTTCAGAAACGACACAATCCACTTTTTCACAGCTTTGAACTGGCCCTTTGCAGTTCACAGTGAACTCTAGTTCACACATCACAGCAGTGAGATGCTACTATCACAAAAAAGAGCAAATGTGTTTTTAATATACATCTATTAAAAAAATTTTTTTTAAAAAAATCAACGTTTCTCAAACTTTCATACCATCTGGTCAAAAAAAAGGACAGAGGTTTTGGGGAAGGGGAAGGAGAGGGGAAACAAATCACAAAGATGAGTCTTTATTATCTGAAATTTGTTCAACTTGGACGATTTACCTTCCGTTTCCAAAAATTATATCTAAGTTATTAACAGCAGGCAGAGACTAAAAAAATGACTTGTAGATAACTAGCTGAAGGATACAACTTTAGAGAAGGTATTTTCCACCTGAAAACTGTTGGAAGAAAGCTATTTTGGGGCTGGGAAACTATGTTAGCAGGTAGATGCCCTTATTCAGATAAATATGAATATTACCACTGCTCTGGCTTTTGTACTTCGTTACACAACTCTCTTTTTTTGATTAGCAGGATTTTCTTTAAAGTATGTGTCTTCTGTGCTTAGAGACATTCAGCACGGCTACCACAAACACTTCAAGAGTTCCTCAGGAAAATGCTAAAAGCTTTCACCCTTCTAGATTTCCTAAGACTAAGGGCAGGGAAACCTTTCTGAATACTTCACACAGAAACAAGTTTGATCCTGATCAAAAAAGGCCGCTATTTCTTGGAAATATCTGTTGCCAGACCTGAAGCATCTGATCCAGCTGTGCTGAGGGAGCCTGCCAAAACATCCGTAGAAGATCTGGGAGCCACCGCCAAACCAAGAGACATAAACAAGAATGACTGCCAGGAACAGCACGGCAAGATATTCTACCCAGAGGAGAAGGCGCCAGCCTTACGCTGATCAGACACACCAGTGCAGAAAACAACATAAAATTAAATCAAGTGTTTCGAGAGACATGGCTTAGGAGTCCAGTTCTTTGGCTGAAATATGTTAAGACAGGAAATGCGCTAGACTAGATGAAATACGATGTACTTGAGAGGAACAGTGCTATATTTCAGCTGGCTCCTGAAAATCCAGAGGAAACAATGCAATTTTCTGGTGGTGAAGCAAGTATTGATAAAGTAATAAAAAAGTAACCCTCAACGGCAAACAGCCTCACACTGCAATCTGCTGGATGTTGGCAAAACTACATCAAAACTGCTGTTGAACAAATGATAGTGCTTAACTTTACCTACCTCCTTCTCAGCTCTTTGCTATTCCATGTATTAAGACTCTTCAGCAGAAATAATCGCGCCTCTGACACAAGCAGCAAAAAGGGAATCTTACGACTACCAGCACAAAGACCGAACACTAAACTTAATTCATCAGAAAAACATGACAAAGTAAAACTCATTTTCTACGTTACTCACTCTAAAATTACGTAAGTGCCATGAAACAGAGAACAATGACAGCGCTTCCAAAGTTGGTTATTTAAACTTCTAAAGCATTTGGTTGATAAAAGAAATGCTGAACAGCACCATACAGAACAGCAGCTCATAAAAGCACGTATCTGAGAAAAACAATGTCACTCGCTTCTTGCTCATGGTTTCCTCAGAGCACTGTGAACACAGGCTACTCTGGGCCACAACTGCATATTCTCTTCTGTTACTCATAGCTTATTTCATCTAGCTAAGAATGATCTGGTGCCCTGCAAGGCCAAGGCAGAACCGAAGGACCGCAGGAATGCCTCCCTGTCCCCTCCCATCCTCACCAACCTTCCCCTAACTTGATCAGAAATGTTTTCCTCCTACCTTATAGGATCTCATTTTCCAGCTCTGCGATCCCAGTGGAAAAAGGCAGCACCCCAACAGCCTACTGCCTGACCTGGCCAATGTCTGATCTAGGAAAATGCTAGGAAAGACAGCAATGCTTCCAAGCTCAGTACACTGCCATTCTTTTAAGTATCAAGCAAGAATATTTACTGGGAGACATTTCAAGCAGAAATACAAGACTGTTTCTCCAGAAACTGGCAAATAATGCTGCTGTTTAAAACCACAAACTTATAAATAGCTGTCTCCAGCACACACCATTCACAAGCAACACGTTGACTTTAAAAACCATCGCATGCCCATACTGAAACTGTCAAACTGGATCGGATCAGCTGACTGTAGCCTACTGACCTGAGTAACCAAGGCTAATACCATACACTGCAGGAAAAAATACAAGAAAAGATAAAAGATACCTATGTAAAAATGGCTAAAAAGAAGACATTGGTTATTTTTCATAAGCCTGACAGTGACTGCTGTATTAGGATTTAGACATCTAAATTTAGGTCAATTTTACTGAATGCAGCTGGGGGGCATTTTCACTATCCATATGGAAGTTTGATTTTTGATTAATTTTTTTAATCATACAAAGCTTTTCTGATAGCATACAAAAATGTATTTACATAGTCTGATAATTTTAGATAAATTGCTAATTTATCTGAGTTATGAACACAAAGTATTAGAGATAACCCTAAGTAATCAGGAACAGCTCCCTCAGTTTTGAAATACAAGAAATTTTACTGAATTTATATACCTTAAAGCATACCTTTAACTGCACAACAACGTACTCCATTGCCTCTGTCTTCTTTTAAAGTAACTCTAATCTTTATAATCACGCCTCAAATGTAAGCCTTTCCACGGCTATAAACTGTAATCTCCATTATGAATACATTTGATATTTTTCTGTGCTGTTTGATAGAAGATCAGTGCCATAACAAGCCTGAGCAAAAAAGAGTATCTACCTGAAGCATTCCTCTGAGAACTCCCCAAAAGGAGCTGGAGCCCTGAGGCTACTGCTGGCCAGGGAACTGGCTGCAGCTCCATGCTAGGGGATGAATTGGTTGCTACCAGAAAGAGCCAAACTGGTGTAAGCCGTATCCACATGCTAAAGCAGCCCATGTAAGATGAGCAAATCTAAATGCAATACAGCAACGCACATTAGTGTCCTTCTTAAATTATCTGGCAGCAGTATCCTACTCCTTATTTGCATATCAGTGCATTTCTAATCTTATTTCTACTAATACAAACTATTTAAAAGAGGTTTATTGCATTAATATTTTAAAGTAGGAATTATCTGATAGAAAAATAGTACGTAAACAATTATTGCTTTGCAGCAGTACCATGAATATACTCAAGGTCAAGAATTTTAAAAGACATTTTATTAATTAAAAAAAAAATTAAAACTAAATTTGGCCTAAAGTAAATCAGTTGAACAGAAAGACTTCTGGATGCATTGTAAGAAAAAAAACCAAAACAAACCCAATTTGTTTGCCCCAAAGATTAGAACAACAGGAAAGTATATGTAAGAATAAAACAGTAAACTGGACTGGGGACTTCTACTGAAATCCCTGAGAACACGGAAACAGATACTTGATTAACTAGTAAATACAAACATTTTTTCACTCCTCATACAACTAGCCCCCAGAAGATATTCCTGTAGAGTCTATCAGACTGAAAAGACTAAAAAATTAGCAAGATTAAAACCTAGTAACTACTACACAGTTGTTCAATATTTCAGTTGTCAGAGATTATTAAACAGAGCTAGTACTTTGAAGAAAAAGAGGATACACTGTAATTCTGGGGTATAATCTACACAGTGAGGTGGAATTTACCAAGGAAGAAGTATTCATCATTGAGCAACCATGGGGTTTATTGCATGTTTTTGGAGCCATACTATGTTAGCTATTGTTTTTACCATAATGCAGACCTTTAGACTGCTAGGTTTATTTAATATAATAATATTTGTCAATCTGAGAACTGAATATATACAGAATAAGTATTTCTTGGTCTTGTCAAATGCAAAGGCAAAATAAAGTATCTGTCTTCAAAATTTCTTCACCATGTACTCATCAATAAAGCAGCATACCTTTCCTGTTTAAGTGCATATTCCAGCATTTTGATTCTTCGCACTAGATCCTTCTTCAGATTTTCTTGTCCTTTCCTTTCCCCTTGAAGAAAAGCGATCTGGGCCTGTAAAAGGAAGTGTTCAATTTAGAATATGCTTCCTCAAAACCATTCAGCATAGCTCTTAAGTGTGTGTGTTTCCCCCACGTCATTTTAAAATTGATTTGCACAGTTCAAAACAAATTGGCTTACTGTGTTTCATAAACATCAAATGCTTAGAAAACACACTGTATAGATAAGCCTTCTAAACTGCATGCTCATTAGAGATTAAAAAAAAAAAAAGATAAGAAATAAAGCAATATTAGTTTGTTTGACAGGGTTTATTTCCTCTCCTGGCTAAACGTTCAATAAAGGATAAGGAATAGATAAAACAAGCATACAAAAGCCTTCAGCAGATAAAAGCATCTACCAACAATAAGCAGGAGAAGATGATAAAGTATTTCTGCTTACTAACTGTAGTAGTATATAATTAGTGTACTTTTCTATAGATACGTGTTAGATACATGATACCAGTCAAAGCACTGAAGTACAGCATGTCCAGCGAAAAGAAAAAATAAAACCCTGTTTGTAATAGTGCCAAGTGTTAATTATAATACTTACTAAAATAGGTTAAAGAAAGCTCTCCAGAAATACAGTAATTAAGAGAGAGACAAAACTGAAAACGGGGAAAGGTATTTTGGTGAGGGAGACAAGGAGAGAAATGGCACAGAAGTAAATAAAAGTCAAGTAGAAAACAGACACCTAGCCTTTATTGACTTCCAGAAGAAAATAGTATTTAGTTGGGTGTAAGAGTGTGAAAGGTCGTCTTTAAACAGAAATTGGCGATATATACAAGATATTCAGTCCTAATCCCAGAGGCAGAACTACCTGCTTTCGTACTTCATGCTCAAAACAGGTCATTTATTAGAGGGAGGTTCTTGTGCTCTCTCAACTCATGAACACGCTTTTAGACAAAAGTACCGATGGACAGTCACCACTCCTCACCTCGGCCTCACCTGTGTTGCAGACCACCTGCCATTTTCAGAATCAGAAGCTTTCTGCCACCTTTGCAACTAAGTCTCCAAGTACCTCAGCTGTCTCCCAAGCAGCACAAACAGGATAAAAGGCAACTGATCTAGACCACCCGCTGTTACACATGAAGACCAGTAAGCCTTTCATTTATATAAAGGCCCACTGCAGTTCTGTAAGCAGCATTTTCTGTAGGTACTGCAGTCTGTGCCAATCTCTAGGGAAAGCTTGGGAGAAACAAGGAGTAGCCTCTCCTCACCTGCCACAACCTTGCAAGGACTCCCCAGATATTTTAGTTAATGGAGACTGAGACTTCTAAAGAATAACTTATCTGACTTCAGATTTTTACCCCAAAGGAAGAAAAAAACGCTATTTTCTCTCCACCAACTATAAAGGAAATGTACACAACAAACTCAGTTGAAGTTTGGAGATGAGGCAAGATGAATCTCACTCCAAAAGGCCATTTGCTGGTAGCCAGCTACAGCAGCTGCTCTAAAATATGACACCAGCTAACATCATTTCATTGCTCAAGTACAGCCAGTAAACAGCTTGACAGACACCTGAAGAATCCTTAACCACCAGTCACCCACTAGAGCAGCCAGTTTATGGTAAGTGAAAAAACACTGGCCGCTCTCCAGTGGTCTTCACCTTCAATGGGAGAAATGTATCTGACTGCCAAAAAACCCTCAGCTGAATCAAACGAAAGGCCTCTGTCACTCTGGCATCAAGCTTCTCCTCACTTAACACTCAAACTGGCATGAACAAAAAACTACAACCCAGCATTCATTTTTTGCTCGGGTTTAGGGAAAGGCACAGAAGAAATGCTGACTTCCGAGTCCACACTTTCTACCCTGAAGAAATAACATTAACACTGCAAGAAGCACATCAGCTCAACAAGGTCACCATCCTTCCCAGTGACAAGAGGAACACCCCAAGCACATACAACTTAGTTTGCAATAACTGAATAACTGTACTGGGATTATAATCCATATATTAGTGCACTGCGATAGTGATTTCTCTCTCTCTGCCTCCAAAGAGGTTCAGCAGAAATAAACAAGCACCCTTCTAGCCAAAAAGTGAAAGAACATCAAAGCATACTACTAAAAATAGTAGGACATGACGTAAATACACATTTGACTGGAATGAAAAAGATCATCCAATGCCAGGGGGACACAAGCTGAAGTGATTTCTGGTGTGACCTGCCATCTGCAAGCAATTTCTAGCTAGGAATGAACTGACCAAAGAGGCTGGAATGATGCATTTTTACCCGGGAGGTTGGCAAAGGACAGCCAGGAATGGCCTGGCTCATGCACTGCTCTGCTATGGGGTCAAACCAGCATTATCATGATAACAATGAGGTTAAAGTCATCTTCCACCGGTAGCAGCCTAAACAAGAAAAAGATGCAACTTCTCAGTACTTTTGACAGCTTAATTTTGTAAGAAAAATATATTTAAATGTATTTGATTAAGAAATATCATACGATGCTTCCTTCATCTGAAAATGAGCAGTCACACTTGCGATATAGTGCAGCCCTGGCTCCGTGACTTGTCTGACCAACTGTTTGAGAATCAAAACTGAAAACTGTCACCAGAAGATTCTTAAGCACATGAAATAATGTAAGTGTTCCTCACTTTCCCTCTAGAGCTGAAATGTCTATGCCTTATGATTCAACATGAAGGAAAATTATTGGGCTCTATTTCTTCAGGGCCACTGGCAGACTATATGCACTATATACATATTGCACAGGAAGAAATATTAACTAATTCTTTGGACATCTTTTATTGTCAGTGGTATAACGATGCTCTTACTGTTGTCTTCTAACTTTTCTTTCTCCCAGACTTCCAAGAAATCCTTGTGTTTATTACTTTAAAAGCATGCAGAACTCATGGCCCAAGAGCCATCTCTCCAGCCCTACACAAGCTCATTGCCAGGATCTTTCAAGGTTGCTATATACTTTACGGATTGGTAGTTTTATTGGTAAATCAAGAAACAGACAAATGCACCAGAGGGCCTGAGAACAATTTTGCTCTCTCTGTGGAGGCTGCACAGTTTCTAGCATAGAAACATGTTCATGCTTTTCTTCTGAGTGGCATACTTATATCCAATAGTCATTATTTTTGAGAAATTCTGGCTCTGAAAATGGGAATGCTTACATTTGGTCAGAAATATACAGGAAGTAAGGAGAATATTCCCTCTGTTTCCCACAGGATGTTAGTTACCCTTATCCCTTATCTAAACAAGCACTGGATAATTACAATTAAGTCACCCTCAATGGACAACAAAACATCATTGATATATGTAAGCTCACATTTTATTTAAAAAATTCTTAATGATAATATTCAGGTTTATTTGTAATGGACATAAGGACAGCATTACAATAATAACTGAAATTTTATATTAACAATACTACTGTAACAGTCACAGAATCACAGAATGATATGTGGTTGGAAGGGACCTCTGGAGATCATCTAGGCCAACCCCCTCTGCCAAAGCAGGTCCACCTAGAGCAGGCTGCACAGGAACGTGTCCAGGCGGCTTTTCAGTGTCTCCAGAGACAGAGCCTCCATGACCTCTCTGGGCAGCCTGTTCCAGTGCTCTGCCACCCTCAAAGTAAACAAGTTCTTCCTCGTGTTTAGATGGAACCTCTGAGTCCATATGTCATACGCAGATTTCATTCTTTACAATGTTTGGCAATTAACTGAAAATATGCCAAGGAGCCTAGATGTTCATACCACAAATGAAACAATTTGTAGTATAGATGAAAACTGAATAAATTAATATACTGAGTTTCAGTATGTAAAATGACAAATTATGATTCCTCAGTCTCTAGAACAAAACAGCGATAACTCTAGGTTCAGTGTTTCTGATTAAAATATTTAGCCAGTGTCTGTCTACATGTCTGTGCAAACATTTAAAGTCCAAGAGGTCTGAGTTGAAACATGATGAAAAGTGTAACTGAACTGCCCAGCTACAGGATTCTTACAATTGGGATGTAAGCGGCAGAATTTTACCAGTAGATTGAGACTGCAGAGGCCATCTCCCACGGCTGCAGCTCTAGCACAAGTCAAACCTGAAGTCTGCGCTACCTGAGGGAGCAGGAGAGCAAAGGAGGATCCCCTCCACTTTGAATGATCTGCAACGCTGTTCTACACTTCTGCTTTGGCCACTCCTGAGAAGGTTTGCCAAAAATGTCAAGAATTCACAAATATGCCCAACAAACAGGTTCTGCGACGAATGACCTTCTGGCTAATAAGGTTAAAATGCATCAAGTCGTAAGCTCATCACCACAAACCTCGAAAACGCCTCCGGGGATCACACAAAAATCTGTATTGTTCCTGCCTCATGGGTGGGGCGCGTGGTCCCGTCCAGCGCCCGGCCCCGCTGGCTCCCAGAGAGGGAGGGATCCAGGCAGCTTCCCCATCCAGTTCTTTCCAGGCCAAGTGCTACAAGTTACTGTATTACATCTCAACTGTTAAACTAAAAACCAAGCAAAGAAAAAAACCACCACCAACAAAACAAAACAGAGAATATTGGGAAGAATATTGGAACAGTCTATTTCAGCTACAATCGTACAGTTCAAGTTCAGGGGGTTTTTTTCCACTTTATCTCATTAAAGTTTTTAGTATTACCAACCGCAACAAAACTTCGAAGCTTCATGCGCATCCATTCTAAATTAGTAACACTGTAGATATTCCACTTCTTTACCGAGAGATTTTAAAAGTAACATTCATTCTTATGTTAAAAAAAAAAAAAAAATACTCATGCAACAATATTGTTGTTTTAAGAAATTCCTCAAAAGACTCTAAGGTCACATTACTGTGAAGTGGACAAAAGGGCGAGGCAACGTTTTAGGTAACACAGAGTTAGAAACAATATTTTTTAAAGTGTTTTTGAATTCCTAATACAGGCCTAGCAGCCATAACAATATAATGGACTAATTAAATTGCATCTAAATAAATCTGGATTATACCAGTGTTTTAAAAAGTAAACTGAAATTTAAGTTTCCTGGAATCAGCAACCACAACAACAAGGATGTTAAAGAGAATATTATATCTGC